TGGGCGCTTCCGAGTATTGAGTATTTGTGGGTTAGGGTGTTTTTCTAATCGTGAACGTTAACGTTTATACATTGTTGAGACGATTTAGACTTGTAGATCTGTGTGAAACACATAATCGATTTTTTTTTTATTTAATTTCTGAATTTGACTGTTTATACAAAGATTATTTATTTGAGAACATAACGTTACAGATCAGAATAGTTTTTCGTGTACAACTGTACAATGATTTGTCATTGGATTCGAATAGCCAATAGGTATAACACATCTCTTACAAATTTATAAATTACAAATCTTAATGACACACTCAACTAGTGTATGGCAAAGTGGTACCCACTTATACAGTTATTCAACATTTTTTTTTTTTTAATTCTGCTTTCTGCATGGCCCCTTGCCCCCCTTCCCCCGGATCCTCGCCTGTAACCAATAGCCTACCTTTTTTTCATTAATTGTGAAAAAGTATTTATAATCAACGATAAAGCTACTCCAGACCCTAATCAAAAATTAAAAATAATTTATTCATCACGTATTGAAAGTAGATAGTGTGTTCAGTCATCAGTATAAAAAACACTTAAAACAAAATTCCATATTCTAATCAAGTGGTAATCATCATAAAAGGTATTTTAAATATTACTTTAAAAATGCATTTAGCATTAGACGAAATATAATATTTCAGATTATTTCAAATACCCCCAAACACCATTGCACAGTCGGGGATAACCCCGCTCTCGAGTCTCGAATTTATTTTTAAGTACGTCACTCGTCACTGGCTCTACTGTTCACGATTATTACTGCTGGGAGAGGGGGTTGTGGGTTGAAAATTGAAATGCGACTAAAAAAAAGGGTTTAAGATTGTATTATTTTTCGACAATTTTTGTTCAGTTATTTGTAATTTAAAATTAATATTGGTTTAAGGACTAGCRTCTGATATATTTGAAAATACTGTGTAGTTCGCGGGTTTCTTCCATCCTCTCGGTAGTCGGTACTGTTCTATGGTGCGGCAGCTGTTGTATTCCAGGCTGTTCGGAAATGAGATGTCAGCGTTCTCTCCTTTTCAAAACTGGTGTTACTGTATACATATTTTTTCAGATCAAGTTCTGATATTCTTATCTATTCTTTTTGACTGTCTTGTTTGGTCTTATTTAGTGATAGCATTAGYCCTCACTCATTTTATACAATTAATTTCTCGTCGTGTCGGCTGTTGAACGTCTGTTGGTTAATTACTGAGGTAAGTGATTCATGTCCCTTGATCGTGGTTAGACTCCTGGTTGGTGACGTCTGTGTCAAACAAAAATTGTGAATAATTATTAGAATCATATTATTTTTTCAACGTTTCCTGTAAAATGGATGGTGTTTAATATAGATAGAATCGAAAAAGCTCGAAATCCAAATAAATATTTTAATCGAAGATAAGAGTAGTAAATATTTCTTAGTTCTTGTACATTTTTGTGTCAAAATCTTGATGTACCATAGGTATACTATAAAGGCTGACTGTGTCTGCTTAATTTTTTTCAATTACCTGTTATCGCTACCAGTAGAACTTATTATTAGTACTCTTTTAAATTCACAATTGCATTTTGTAAACTCTTAAGGCTCTTTTTAATTGAAATAATATGATCTATATTCCATTTAAGAATATTTAAAAAATAGATATATACCTAATTTACTTTTTCTAGTTTGATTTGATTAAACTCATGCTCGTGTCTAAATATTGTTTTTACAATGCTATTGATTTTATTTATCATTGGTACAGTATTATAATAAAGCATTTGATGTATAAAATATTTCACCAAAAAGTCAAACATTCCAATTTTTTAATTATAAAGTCAATGAATTTAAGGTTATTAATACTAATGCGTAGAGTGCCGTGGCTGAACTATATTAGGTCTTGTTTTCAAGTGTTTATAGCAAAATTTTAGTTTTTTCCCAGGAAATAGCTTATTGTCAACAATGGTTCTATGATAGTAATATTTATCATAATTATACATAAAAAAGCTGTATTCCATAAAGCTTTCACACTAAAATTGTTACTTTATGAATGAAAATATTTTTTAAATGTTAGTAGGTACTTTGAAACCTATATTAAGCAACATATTTTTTCAATTTCTTATACCTTATATAATATTTTAAGTTTAAATTAATTAAGTATGATGGTTAATTTTTTTTTAGAAAAATGAGTTCCCCGTATCAAGGGGCATTGACATGTGTTACATGTCAAATTGTGTTTGAAACTGGTGATGCACATCGCATTCACTATAAAACAGACTGGCATCGTTATAATTTGAAAAGAAAAATCATTAATCTTCTTCCTGTTGACCGGCCAACATTTGAATCCAGAATACTAAGTCAACAGATCAAGGAAAATGAAGAAAATGCTAAGAGTTCGATTTATTGCACTATTTGCAAGAAATCCTATAATTCACAAAAGTCCTTTGATAGCCACACGTCTTCTAAACAGCATAAAACTTTRGCTTTGCAATCAGATAACGAACATAAAGATATTGGTGTACCAGCTGCCAAGAAAATAGTTAAACCAGCTGAGAATAAACYTGTTGAAGAGAGCGATGATGAGTATGAGGATGTAGATGATGACGAAGAATGGGGTGAAGTAGTCAGCGAAAACAATCCCATAGTCAACAATATATGTTTATTCTGTCCTCAGAGCAGTGAAAACTTGTTGCAAAATATTAAACACATG